GTTATACCAAAATACAAGGATGTTTTTCTGCCTTAGAATTAAGGCTCTTAGCACTGTTATTTGTCATGAAATACCTTCAGCTAGCCGTGTTGATGTTGACCGATAGGAACTGCACCCAAATAATGCCCTTTCGACATAATCACAGGTCAGCACCTTAGCAAACGGAATAAGGCTCACGACTCTTGACAAACATACCAGGTCAGCACCAATTCCGCTGTGCAACATAATGTGTAAAACTGTAACAGAATGACGTAGCAAGCATGAAATGGGCTTTTCATGTAGAAGGCAGCAGAATCGATCTGCACCTGCCTCGCTACATGCCAGGAAACAGGCCTGGGAGGCAATAACAGGACAGCAGAGTGCAGTACCTACCAGCAGAAAGACTTGGCAGGATGTCTGAGAAAGTTTACATTACATGAAGTTGACATTTAAAAAAAGTATTCTAAAAAAATTTAGGAGGAACTACTTCATGCACAGCGTAATGAGAATGTGGACCTCGCTGCCTAAAGTGGTGGTTGAATCAAATAGTGTAGATGCATTGAAAGAGAGCTAGAATAACCCATGAGAGAGAAGAGAATAGAAATGCACTCTTTCAGTTTACGTTCTATTATTTACCGGGGCTTGTGTGATGTGGGTTTCACTAGCACTGTACTGTTCATGCACAGCACCATTTCTACTTTTAAAATTGGCTCTGTGTAGTGCAGATCATTGTCAAAATTAGATTGCGAATGTTGACCCCTAAATTGCTTGCAGATGCATTTGGTTCAAGCACACATCACTTGTAACATGAATAACTTCTTTAATTCAGAAAAAAATTAATACGCAAAATTATGACAAATTTCTCAGAGAACCGCCACCGTTGGGCTTTTCACCGTAACTGCCACTGCCTTGATTCTGTAACATGAAATGCAAGATGTTGACTTACTGGTGCCCATCTGTTTCAGCAAGACAACTTCAGAGGCAGTATTATACTAATTATACTGCCTGGGTTCCCCCAGTATTTGAAATTGATTAAGGCTATTGGAAAGAATCTTAAGTCTTTATTAACAAGCCAACTATAATTATAACTAGCATCCAACAATTTGCATGAATTGTTCTGGCTGTAAACTATTGCATGTAAGCAGTTCCATATGTAAGGCACACATTAATCAGAAACTGTCTTCCTGCTTAATGCTACCATTCATTTCAATGCATCAGATTTACATTTCCAATATGCCAGACTTTCTTCCAAGTAGTAAATGCATCCACAAAATTAAGTAACAGCCAAGTACGCATTTAATGCTGGTAATAAGTAGTCAACTACTGTACTGAAATGATTGATGTATCTCCTTTTGTCTGCTGCACTATATTTCACATAATTAGGCTAAAAGCCAGGTTTTCAAGTGTAAAATTCTAAAGGAGAACTGCAACCATCTATTATTAATGATGATAAGCCTTGATTTGATAAAGCACCTATCAACCTTAAAATGTCCCAAAGAGCTTCACAAGTAAATGCTGTAAAATGTAGTGACTGTTTATTTGTAGACAAAAGTGGCAAAACGAATTTGTCTTTCATCCATTTGATGAACAATTACTCACAGTTAAGGCTGATCCCACAGTCGTTTAACTCAAGTCTATACTGGCACTCCAATACAATGTTGGAGGAGATGCCCTTTTTTAGATGAGACGTTAAACTGAGGACCAGTCTACCTGTTCAGGAAGACGTTAAAGATCTCAAGGCACTATTTGATAAGAGAAGAGAGTTTCACCTGGTCTCCTGGCCACCAATCCCCCAGATAAAATTGTTTTTTTACTTCATGACTGTTTATGGACATTGCTGTGCGCAAATTGGCTACAAATACACAATAACTACACTTCATGATAAAATCACGTGAAGCGCTTTAAGGCAACACCAACAACTTGCATATATATAGCACCCTCCATGCCAGGCAGCACTCAGAGCTGTGATGATGGAGCCTGATGCTGAACCAGGGGAAGGGGAAGGTGACCACAGGCACGGTTGAAGAGGAAGGTCTTCAGGCGCAACCTGAAAATGGGCAAAGAAGGGACAAGGTGAAGGGATTGATGGATGGAGGGAGTTCCATAGCTTCAGGGCATAGTGGCTGAAGGAACGGCCGCCAATGATGGAGGGGAGGATTTGAGGGACAAAGAAGAGGCTGGAGCCAGTAGAGTGGAGGCAGCAGGTAGTGCTGTGAGGAGAGAGGTTGGAGAGATAGGGGGGTGCCAAGACGTGGAGGGATTTAAACACTAGAGATGTCCTTTGACATGATAAGACAACAACAGCAACAACAACTTGCATTTATATAGCACACTTCACAGGAGTTAGTCCATGGAGTGCTTATATCAAAGGTGTTATAACACAAGCAAGTATTATCAATTTAACTAAACTGTATCAACACAAATATTTTGACTGAGGTAAGTTTATATTAATGTTTTGATCACTGCACAAGACAATGTAATAGTTTCCAATAATAGTGTTTTACTGAAAGTGGAGATATTGGGCATGTGAATATTTAAGTGCTGAGCAAGAATGGCAATTTATTCATGCGCAGGGCAGATCAGTCACAGAGGTTGGGGATTCTTCCCGCTTGGCTCCAGTTAACCCTCTAAACTAAAAATGTAATGGGTTGAGTGGTCCTGACTGGGCAAGCAGTGGGCAGACCTCCAGAGAGTGTTTTCAATGTTAAGCTACATTAACCTCGCCAGTACCATAACACACACTCTGGGGCCAGAAACCAGGTACTGCACTTTCAACGAGCTTGGAATCCACAGTGGATCCACGATCTGAAGGAACCTATGCTCTACCAAGGAAGTTCTAATGGGGTTGTCCTGTACATTTCTAGATGAGATGAACAGAGAAGATCCCTCCAGAGTAAGCACTCAGTCCCCCAAAAATATAATTTCTCATACTTATATGGAACTCTTAGTAGTTTGGTTTAGATACTCTTTAAGTGTGCATGGCGATGGGCTTACATGCGTGTCACCCAAATAAAAACACACTTTAGAATAAACTGCAAGAACTCTGGTTCCCAACTGTTGTGCTGAGCTAAAGTGTGATGAACAAGTCTGACCTCCTTATCTGATAATAATGTTAAAATCTTCATACAGCCATGCAACAAGCTCATCTGCCATCAATGCAAAATAAATTGATAAAACCTGCAATAGCTGAGAACAGAAACACAAAACTTGGTTATTTTTTCTGTTCAGTGAATCACAAATGTCTTGAAGAACATACCATAGTTTACACATTTGCTGAATGCTGAAATTAATCTGCTACCATACTGAACAAACAATATTCAAGCCTTTTCTTCATCTACTTGGCTACCAATAAAACAAAAGGCATAATAGAAGGTTCGAGAAAAATAGGCATTCTATGTGCAGTCTTCTGAAAAGCCTCAATATAAAGATATCACTGTCCCTTTCTGCTGAAAGAAAAAGAACAACTTTGAAGATAAATCCAAAATGGATTGCTGTTAGATGACAGTTTCAAATTGAATTATATTAATGAGAACCTTGAAACAGAAATATTGGAGTTGAATAAGGTGACTTCAGGAATAATAACCTCGCAAAAATCTGGTAATTGCCATCATTTTAAAAGGAGATTGTGAAATGAATTTTCTCACATGTCTATTTCTCCAGCTCAATTTTGCTTAAAAAATGATTATGTGGGTTATCCACATTGAATTTCACCAAGTTCCATTAACTTCCACACCTTAAGCAACCAGTTAACAGAGAAGTATATGCTACTGAACTGCCCTCACATATAAATCAGCCATGATCTTATCGAATGGCGGGGCAGGCTCGAGGGGCCGAACTGCTCCTAATTCTTAAGTTCTTATGTTCTTGTAAAATATGCTTTGATCTTGTAGGAATTCTGGTTGGAACCTTTCCTCCTAACATTGTGGCTGAGGTAATATATCCAGAATCCATTCTCCCCATTCGTGATCTTCTCTACAAAACTAGGATGCTATAATCTTTATCTTGCTGAGTCTAATTAGACACATCAAATTATAGTAATTATATTCATTGGAAAAAAGTTTTCCATATATCTTAAAAATAACAAGCATGGTCGTTTGAAGGTCAAACTGATGCAGTATTATTAACATAACATTAAACTGAGACAGTCGAAAATTAATCAATAAAAGTAAATAAAACTAACAATATACTTTGCTTGATAGCTCCTAAATCTGCACATATTAACTTTAGAAAAGAACATCTGCTTTATTGGGATGGCAGGAATGTTAACTCATTGGTGACTTTTACTCAAATTTTAGCAGTAAAAATATTAAGAGATGTAGGGAAAAAACTAGAATGTGAAATGGGGATAATAATGCAGGTAGTAGGCAACTGAGATGATGAGCTAGGTGATCTCCTTCTGTGTGAAAAAGTCTACTGTTATGAATGATTTGAGACAATTCAATTTGATTTATGATGTACATTAGGTTACTGCTAAAACAGATATCTTTAGAACTCTGAAACGTTTAATCTTATCTTTTATTTTGTCTGCTTAACAGGCTAAAACATAGGAGGAAGAAGTGGTGTAAATATTAGCAATGTTATTTTACTGTGAAAATGTCTAAGCTTCAAACAATAATCTATGTGTTGAATTACATGGATTGATCCTCTTTGTTCAAGCACTCCAGGATGCTACCCTGTTTGAGGGGCGCTATATAATGCAAGTTGTTGTCGTTATTCTCCTAACGTTAGTGTTCACAGGCAGATGGAAAATTGGACAGCAGAGCAACAAATGTGTCCATCAACTATTCCACAGAATGCTTAGACTGTATCACAAAGAAATGTTTAACAATAATAAATATTAAAGTGACATATGCAAACATAGTTTAACACAGTTTGGAGAGGGGGCGTTTCTCTAATCTCTAAGGTCCCTCAAAACATAATTCTAAATTATTCTAACTTAGTGTTAATACGAGATTTATTATGAATCGCCACACATTAGCATCTTTAGCACATTAAACTGGAAACAAATTGTAAGAACTTACCATTGCTGACAACTTCGGCCCGTTGATTTGTGCATTCATAATAGCATCATTCACCAGTGAATGGAGATTGAACAAAACTTGCTCTATGTCATAAGCTCCATGTATTCCATTTGACAATTCCTCCAATGACCGAATGTACTCCCGCCAGTGTAGATCAATTTCTGCCATGTTAGCCAGGCACCCTCTCATCACATTCAGGCAATACCCCATACATGGTTTCCTGTTAGTCAGACCTTGGCAGTGGGAACAATACTGCATCTTCAATAACCCCCTGCTGCATTCTTTGGTATATTGCAAATGATCAGTCGTGTTAATAACTTCAATTCCTAAATTTAAAGCCTGCAAGAAAACATGACTGGCCATCAGTGATTTGGACATTTGACTTATTATTGACTTGGGAAGGTGACCAAAGGGATTTAAGTCCTTTCTTGCCATCCGCACACATTCAGCAAAGTCCAAGGCGATGTCAGTGAGAGCAGGATTGATTAGATGATTGTAGACCAAAGGAAAGAGACTGTCAAAAAATCTATTAACAAACTCATCAACATTTATCTCTGAGCCAAATACAAAAAGTGCAACATCGGTGAAGAATTCTCGAATTGGTGCAGCTGTCTGAAAGGCCATGTTCCGGTATGTCGTTCTGAACAGAGTATTTGTGTTGTTCTCCGCATGACGAATGACATTTTGAAATGTTTCTGTAATTAAATGAGAGGCAAGTAAATCATTCTGTTGCTCATACTTTCAAAATGGTACTAATTTTTAAGATGATAATTTCTCCTGCTTTTTAATCGAAGACACAATGTTTTATTTGCTTAGCGAACAGTAGAGGAGAATTACATAAAATGACATTGAATTACACAGCATATACAGCACAGAAACAGACCATTTGGCCCAACTGGTCTACGCTGGCGTTTGTGCTCCACTTGAGCTTCCTCCTTCCCTTTCTCAATTAAGCCTATCAGTATTCCCTTCTACTCCATTCTCCCTCATGTACTTACCTAGCTTCCCCTTAAATGCATCTATGCTATTCGCCTCAACTACTCCTCGTGGTAGCAAGTTCCACATTCCCACAACTCTCTGGGTAAAGAAGTTTCTTCTGACTTCCCTATTTAATTTATTGGTGACTATTTTATATTTATGGCCCCTGGTTTTGACAAGTGGAAACATCTTCTCTATGTCTACCCTATCCAAATCTTTCATAATTTTAAAGACCTCTAATGGGTCACCCCTCACCCTTCTCTCTTGAAGAGATAAGAGTCCAAGCATGTTCAGCCTTTCCTGATAGGTATATAACCTTGCAGTTCCAGTATCATCCTTGTGAAAATTGCAGAACAAAACTCTCCAAAAACAAGCTGAATTTCTCTTAGCTTTGCTTTATTTTAATTAGAATTCAAAGTACTTAAAAACAAAATACATTACACTTTCCTGATGCAAGACTGGGTACTCCTGGAAATATAACTGATAAATAATGATAAAATCCACTTTTTTTTAGTCCAGTATAACTGAGAAGTAGAATCAATTTGGGGGGTTTTAAAGCAAAATTAAACTAACTTGATCTTATTTTTTAATGAAAAATTGCATAAGGCTACCAGAGCTTTGTACACCTACAGCATATTGCTCCATCTACAACCATCATCTTTGTCTCCTTTCTGCAGCTTCATTTAGCGATGCTGTGGGTTGAAAAGGGGTGTCATGTTAACCCTCCTTCCACACACAAACTGTTGGTGAAAACATCAAGGTATAAAAAAAAGTTTCACCACCAGAAAAAGATGTCTACACATCCAAGAGCTAGCAGACGTGATGGTCTGATTCTGCTCTGTAGAAAACCTTTGATTCACTACAGCTGGAACTCTGAAAACAGAGGTGCAAAATTGACTGTGTCCAACACAATTCTTAGATTTTTTTAATTTATTAAAAGTATCAACTGTTTTGTTGCAGTTATTTGCACCCCAATATGAAAATTTCCCAGTGACAAAGGACCTGAGAAATCGACTCCTTGACGATTGTTTAACTTAATAATAATAATCCTTGCATTTGATATAGCGCTTTTCACGTCGGGAGGACATCCCAAAGCGCTTCACAGAATATACTGTAAAGTGAATTGACTGTATATTTGAGGGCGAACGCGGCAGCCAATTGCGCACAGCAATGTCCCACAAACAGTCGTAGATTGAAAATGACCAATTTATTATTGTTTTTAGTTTTGGAGGGATTATTATTAGGCGTGTGGAGTAAGGAAACTTGCCCAAGGTTTCGCCCTGACCTGCCTGGAAATGAACTCAGGTCTCTCGCTTGCAAAGCGAGTGCTCTAACCACTGAGCTACAGGACTCCACAAAACTTGCTCGAGAACCCCTCTATCAAGTATAAGAGAGTGATCTCTAGCTGTGAGATTCCATCCACAGTGTATGGAAGGTCTTGGTCTCCATTTGGCACTTTGCCACAGGAATAGTGATGAGTCCGGAACTCAAAAAGGAGGTAAACCATCAGAGGGGTGGACAAAGAATGTTTTAAATATCACTAGCATTTATTTCCATTTGTTTCTTTGACATCAGGCTTTAATACTGGTCAGGAAAAGAGTTTTATTCTATGGTATAGACTTAATGATGCACAGCAATGGTGTTTTATGCAAGCTGGAAAAGGGATGATCCAAAGAATGCATGGGCCTCTCAGTGCTGAGCAAGGTCTGATATTCTTGCGTAGGTTCACCCAATTGTACAAAAATGTGTCTGAGCATTGCCTCACTCTATTCCATGTAACTCATCATCATTGAAAATCTGAAAAGGCAACTATTCTATCTTTGGGTGAATAATAAACCTTGCATTTGATGTTGTGCTATATCGCATCTAAATGCTTTAATAAGATATAATTGTAAAGTGTAATGAGTGAATTTGTAGGCTAACATGGCAGCCAATTTGCACACAGCAAAGTCTCACAAACATCCAGGCAATTTTGTCTGGAGTCTAAAATTGGTGGCCAAGATATGGAGAAAAAGTCCCATCACTTTCGAATGGTGCCATGATTACTTTCATATCCACCTGAACAGGTAGACAGGACCTTGGTGTTAACTCATCTGAAGGATGGCACCTCCAATAATGCAGCAACCTCCCCTCACTCAAAGGCCTCAACTCAGGACTTGATCCCACAACCTTCTAACCCAGAAGTGAGAGTGCTGCCATCTGAGCCAGGCTTACGCACAAAGAATATGTACTGGATTCATGATAATAAGATTCTTGGAACTAAGTGAAGCCCAAAGTGTAAGCTGCTTACAAGTTGAACTTTTATAAAGAAAATTTAGAAAGCACTCACTATATGTGTATAATGAAACAATTCACGTCATCAATACACTTTGAAATAAAACTGCATTAAAATAGAGTAATTCTTTCCGAATGAAAGCTGGGTACCTGAAGACATTGCTCAACAATAAAAAGCGTACATTATTGAAGCCATCATGCCACACATTAAATTGTAAATAGTGCTCACCCTATCATTCATTATTACTTTAAATTGTAGTTGAACAGCTTTAACCTAATCTGAAGTAAATAGCTGAGTTTTCACAAACAGTAGCTCTAACCCTTTCCCTCAACATCAAAAACGTTTAGCCAGTAGTCAGGTACTTAGTGCAGTCAGCTTCATGCATTGTGCTTTGTGGTGTGACCCTGTCATAACCTCCCTATGGCTAGATCCACATCAGAACAGGCTACTTGCAAATGTGGGGGCCCAAGCAAGGGCAGAATAACGTGTGAAGATTGTGATGGGAGACCAGGCTGAAGTTTATAATCACTTTCTTTAAATGTTAACAAGTACATTTTCTTACAGCGTTTTCATGAGAATCACCAAAGTTTTTTAACAAGCCTATCTTGTTAAGGCAACTCTACTAGCTACAAGGAAACTTCTAATAGTGCCAGGATTAATATTTGTGATAACAGCTTCTAGTGTTCAGTTTCCCTGCATTTCAGATATTTTTTTGTGAATGTAAATAAATGGTCATCAAGTTGTCAAAACCTCTCAAAGCACTTCACTGGTAATTTCTATTAAGTACAATGTCTGGGACTTCGGGGACAAAAGGTTGCAACTATTTTAAGCATATTAAAGTCCCACAGATCAACCATTAACCATAAAGTTAATGATCATTTTATTTTGGTGATTGTTAGCCAGGATAAATCTCATATTTTCAAGTAGTGCTTTGGGACCCACCAGGAAACAGGCCAACGGGACATTGGTTAATCATCTCATTCAAAAAAAAACACCATTTTACAAAGCAGACCTCCCACCAGCACGGTACTGAGTATTAATCTGGACAATAAGTACAAATTCCAACATGAGGCTTAAACACACAACCTTTAGAGGCAAAGGAGCCATCATCAAGGCCAAGTTACTAACACTAGAGGATACGGGCCGGGGCGGGCGATGGGTCAGACTGGGAGAAGCAGATATGTTGCACAGAACTTGAATTCTCCCTTGTGAGAAAATACTTCCAGGTGATAACACAAATGGGAATTCGTCACTGTCAGTTATGATGCCCACAGAGTAAAATCTACCTTGTATGAACACCAGGAATGTATGTGTGTGGGGGGCAGTACTCACATCCTAGCATCATGAATAAAATCAGGAGATAAATAAACTGTGTGCCGTTGCTATGCCGTACACTACATTCCTGAAGGCTGTTTTTGTCTTAATCTACCTCCACCACCCCCCAAAATTGTCAGGAAACAATTAGGATATAGTCACTAACTTGCCACATTATATAAAGCAGTGTTATGTTATAATTGTATTTCTGCATTTTTTAACTAAAAAACACAGGAAACATTTGTTATGTGGACTCTTCAAGCTGCAGTGACCCACCAGTTGCTAAAGGATTAATATGCAAATTTCGCACAGCAGATGGTTGAAAAGCCACAAGCAAATATGTAATCGGTTGCATTTATACCATGCATTTTGATGTCAGATATCAAAAATTAATATCACGCTTATCAGTATCATAGCCAAGGTTTGCATCATATGAAAATATAATGCAGCATACAGTATTAAAATATTTTAAAGTTCTCGTCACTTTCTTTGCCAGCCATCTCAGTTAATATTGGGGTCTCTGAAAATGAAGGGGATTTTTTGTTCTTATTCTTGTCTTTCCCTTATTTTACTGTCACAGACGCAGAGGAGATGGGCAACCAAGGGATGGGCAACAAGCTGTTTTGACCTTTGATTCCGAGCAGTACATGCTTCACTTTATCAATTTGTCAACCAATACAGTCCTCATCCTCTGTATCCGGGCATAGTGAAGTATTGTACTGAAACAAATTGCACCCAATTAACAATACTCTTTCATTGAGACAAATCTAATTGTCACAGCTGTAATTGTTCAATACTTTCACACAAGTCTGCTGATATTTGTCAAGTGTTTTCATTCAGGAATACTAAATGACCTTGCTATCAAAATCACTTCTCATCGTTACTGTGAGATTTCAGCTGAATGTTCAAAAAGAGGGTTGGTCAGCTCAGATGTGATAACAACAAGATTACATTTGTATAGCGCCTTTCACGTCGGGAGGATGTCCCAAGGCGCTGGACAGTGTACAGCATTTCAGACCTGAGCTGGGGACAAGGGGGGGAGAGGAGGGGAAGGAGGCTGGCCGATGGCATGGTCAAAGAGAAGGGTTTTGAGGCAGGACTTGAAGGAGGCTAAGGAGAGGGTGAGGCGGACTGATTGGGGAATGGATTTCCAGAGGTTGGGGGCAGAGTGGCTGAAGGCTCTCCTGCCAATGGTGGGGCGGGTGGGTCGGGGGACGTGGAGCAGGCCAGAGCCGGCTGAGCAGAGGGAGCGGGCGGGCTGGTAGGAGGTTAGGAGGTCACAGAGGTAGGGTGAGGTGAGGCCATGGAGGACTTTATAGGTGAGGACCAGGATCTTGAACTGGATCCTCTGAAGGATAGGGAGCCAATGGAATCGGGCGAGAGTGGGGGAGATGGGGTCACGGAGTTTGGTGCAGGAGAGGACACGGGCTGCAGAGTTCTGGATTATCTGCAGCCTGTGGAGGGAGGAGTTGGGAAGGCCAACAAGCAGGGCATTTGCATAGTCGAGCCTGATGAAGGCATGACCGTAAGCATGGTCAAAAATGGTCTTCAGGTGGGACCTGAAAAAGGCAAGAGAGGGGGCAAGGTGGAGGGATTGAGGGAGAGTGTTCCAGAGTTTTGCAGCACAGTGGCTGAATACGAGGCCTCCAATGGTGGGGCGGAGGATGCGAAGGACAAGCAGGAGGCCGGTGCCAGTCAAGTGGAGGCGCCAAGTGGTGGATTGGGGAGTGAGGAGGTTGGAGAGATAGGGAAGTGCCAGGGAGTGAAGGGATTTGAACACAAGTGTGAGAATCTTGAAGTTGATCCGTTTGGTGATGGGAAGCCCATGGAGAATATCAATCAATAAGCATCATATTCTCAAAGCATTAATGTACTGTCACTCATCTAAACTACATAAAATGTTGGAACTTAAATTACAAACTTTGGTCACTAGATGTGCATTACATTGCAGTCCGCAGTACAACCTATCAGTGCTCTCACTGTCTGCCACTGAATACATTCCAGATCGAATGATGTACAGTAAAACTCACACAAATTATAGCATATGGGACCATACTATTTAATATCATTTACACAAAATCCGAGTTGCATGCA